ATGTCTGCCTAAATTGATTATCACAACAAGGACACTTTAAAAGACAGTCTTTAGAAAAGTCTGTACTTAATATATTCCTTTACTTGACATGAGGTTATGACTAAAAATACTTCTAAAGTTTGTAACGAACGTTCAAAAAATTAACAAATAAATAAAAATTTATTGCATTACATCAAGTGGTTCATAAGGTAAATTTTTTCATAAAAAAGAAAGAAAGCGTATGCAAATATCAACACAATCTATTTTACAATTTCCAAAGACTGAAATAATTAGCTATTTTATTCCTCATGTGGTGCCCTAACACAAACATTAAGAAAAAACACATTAGTACAAATCTTTTTTTCGTCAAATTTTATTTGCAAGATGTTTTTTTTTTAATGGCGGGCACTTGGGACGTAGACCCATTGGCCTCAGGAATGCCAGAACTGCTACTCTCTTCTCGTTACCCAGTGGGCACCTGTGGCGAAGCCACAGCGGTGGAGCAGCGTCACCCACGTCACACAACCACAAACCCGTTTATAGGGCGGGTCACATATACACACAAAGGAGAAAGGACATGGAACACAAAGAGAGAGAAAGAAACATCCATGCCCTGAGCAGGATTCGAAACCGCGATCATCGGCTCAGCAGTCAGGCGCGCTAACCACGCGGTCACCTGGTTGGCATTTGCGAGATGTAATTTTATTTATCGTGCATTGTTGTAGGGAAGAGCAAGATTCTTTTTTTTTTTTTTTTTTAATGGGATTACATACATTTGCTGACTTGTGTGCTCAATATAGGCTTATAAGTCATTGTCAAGTAGAAAATACAGATAGAACAATTCAGAGAAAGACATCACAAAGAATACATCCAGGGTTACGGCGGGATTCGAACCCGCTACCTCCACGCTTAACAGAGCGTTTGGACCGACGATACCGCTCGGCCAGGGAGGCCCCTAGCAAAATTCTGTGCAGATGCATGGTTCTCCATGGGTTCAGCGTAGTGTTTACATGCAGTTTTTACGATCCCATGAAAAAAACATGTTTTCCTCCATAAAAATTTGTAAAATTTCCCTCGCTTTTTTCGTTTTATAAAATAAATCTTTTCCTTATGGTTAACCATCCTCATCAAAAATTCTCATTGTTTATGCCACTTCTGTGAACATCTCGGTGGACACTATAACTTTATTGCAGCTGCACATATATACAGAAGAACACTCAAATAACAGGAAAGCTTTATTAAGAAGAAGTTTTGGAGTTAATAAAAAAAATAAATAATAAAAAAAAATTCCTTTTCACAAAAGTTTGTTAAGGACATCCAAAAATTTACACTAGCAATAAGGATACTGCAAAATATTGAATAATCCTACCCACAAATTGAGTAGTTATTTATTCAATAAAAAGAAACATAGAAAGTAGTTATTTTATTTATTTCACTTTGAGTGTACTTTTCATGTTGAATTTCATGTGTTCAAATGTATTAAAAGTATAAAAAAAATATTTTTATGGATGATTATTAATGATGTACGCATTCGAAATAAAGAAAAATTTCCTAATTTAAGTTTTTGTAATTATTAATAACTCTAAATATTAGCCATATTATAAAAATATAATCCAATATATATATAAAATATATTCCTATATATTCGAATCAGTCATAAATAACAAACCAATACCTGTCAATAAACATGAGTTAGCAGTATTTACCAAATTTTTGTTAAGAAAAACCTGTGATTTGAAGTAGTGTACTACAAGTAGTGAAACTACAGTAGTCGCTACTTTTTTTTGTAGTGTAACGTGAAGAAAAAAAGTATTGTAGTGAGTAGAGCGATAGAAAAATCCCTTGTAGGTCACCCTTTTGAGTTGAAGTGCTGGAACGTGAAGCTAGTTATTAAATCAAAAATCATTCAGGGTAATCTGTTTTTTTTTTTTTTTCTTTCCAGATCACATTATAGATTAAATTTTGAGCTTAAAAAACAAGTTTCCGATTGTAAATTCCGGACCGCATTTTAAAATGTTTTGAATCAATGGATCTTTAAAAGTTCATTAAAGTTTGTAAAAATTCAAAGTTTGTAAATTCAAAGTTCGCAAAAAAAAAAAATTCATTAATTGTTTGTAAAATTAGGGATTCTTTTTTATTCAAGGTTTTATGCAATTTCTTAGGGGGTCTTAATAAAAAGAAACACATTCTTAGGGGGTCCTAATAAAAAGAACACTCCTAGATTTACTTTCTTTTTTCCTCTTCCTCTTTGAAAAGATGTTTGTTACCTTGACATTGACCAAAACGAACAATAATGGATATTGTTTTCAGTAGAAATGTACTTTCTGCAAATTATACTTCCTCTCGACGGTGATTAGAAAAGTGTAAATCATACAGTGTGAACGGCCTTTTGAGCGCATGCACCAATGATGATTCTTTAATTATGGATCATTTATGCAACAAAAGCACGCATTGTTTTCAATTATCATCTAAAAATGTTTCTTAACTGAAACCGATACATGACCATATCAGCTGTCGGCAGTTCATTTATCAGATTTGAATTTGGGATTGAGGGTTTGAGAAATTTTGTTCAGTAAGGACATCATTTGACTTGTTATAACGACCTTACGTATTATTTAATATGTCGGAGAAAAGGACAATAAAGGTAGTGTTTAATAATTTCTACTTCCAACGTATTTTATTAAATTTTATAAAATATTTACTTAAGTTGAAACTTTTCAGATAGGAATTATTGGAGGATCTGGTTTGGATGATCCTGATATTTTGAAGGATAGAAAAGAGATCACTGTCGACACCCCATATGGTTCGGTAAATTTCGCAATGTGATTGTTGTAAATAATCCCCTATTCATCAAGGGTGTGACTTTCATAATTGTTTTTATCATTTATCGTCTGCTGAAACGAAAAAAATATTTTCTGCATTGTATTTTTCTTGAGCAGAATATCAATTAAAGTTTATATTTTTTACAGCCTTCTGATTGTTTGATCCTGGGAACAATTCAAGGGGTTGATTGTATTCTACTAGCTAGGTATGTTCCCCTTTAATTGCGTTATTGTGAAGTGATCAGACGTCCTCAAATTTAGAAGACAATACTCTATATTTCAATAATTGTCTTTAGAAACTTTCAAACTCTTTGAGGACAAAAAATGTCCTGAAATTTTAACACATGTACATAAATTTCTCAGAAAAATTTTCATACTTTTTATAAGCAATAAAATATAAAAATAAAACTGAAGCGTTCTTGTTTTTAAAACTAGATCATTTTGTTTTGCAGAGTAAACCTGCAAAAATGCATTGAAAACTAAAGTGATTTCATTAAATAAAAAACATAATAATAATCAAATCATATAACTATGCATTTTACTTGTGCAAAGTAAATGGCTGCTTTGTAATGAAATCGAATTTGAGAAAGATAATTTTACACCTGAAATTAATTATTAATTAATTTTAAAGAAAAATATTTTCCAAATATATGGAGATGTCCCCAAATCGTAAAAGTTTTTGAGGATAGTTTGTGTTGTCCTCAAATCATGGTTTAGAAACCTGGTCACCTTACCTTATACTAAAAAAGAATCTATTTACATTGGTCTAGAATATATTTTCTATTTATCTTCTTTTAGAAGATGATCATGAAGAATTTTTTTGTTTACTCAATAATGGTTTTTTAGTATTATTTCATTTCAAAATATTTTTCAAAATTAAAAAATATAATATTTAAATAATTGTATGGCATGTATTGAATTTCTTGATTACTAAATGAGTAAAAGTTTTTATTTAGTACGGCATAATGTGAAAACAATACATTTTATAATTTAATCATAATGATCAATATGCATATCCTGTGATGGCAGGATATGCATGATTGATTTAACTAATGCTGGATCACAGTAAATGTTGAACTATAATGCTGTATCACTTAAAAATTTGACTTTTTTCTTCTCAAATCTTAATTATTATTCCTTCAAAATATTATTTATAAAAAGAAAAATTTATATCAGCTAAATTTTTTATTTTGGTGCAATTACTGTGGACAATTTCACTTGCCACAAAGATGCTATTGTGTATAGTGTTTTTTTTTCCCCTCATTTTCTTCAAATAAGATATTTTTCTTATTTCACCATATTTTTACTTTTTATTTTACTTTTACTCAGGGCTTGTTGATTTAAATCACAATTTAAATTATGATTTAAATCGAATGATTTTTTTAAAAAAAATCATTGATTTAAATCAACTAATTTTTTTTAATATATATGATTATAAAAGTTAAAAAACAGTGTTTTAAATTATTGATACTTTTATTAATTAATTTTAGTTAACGAAATTACTTTCTTTCTTGGTGTGTGTTAAATTCCAACACATTTGAAATTACATTTTTAAAAATCTTTTGATTCTTGAGATTGAAAGTACAGATTAAAGTAAACATTTAATGCTGTCTTAATATAGACTTGCATAGCTGTAGAAAGTAATTATTAAACATGAATTTTTACAAAAAATAATGTAAGTATTGTTAATTAAAATTCTACCCTTTGAAAGAAAAAGCGTGGAATTAAAATCTACATTATATTTTATTGGTGGAAAATGTATATTTCTGAAGCTTGAGGTTATATTAAAAAGAAATTACCCTAATTTGCCAAAAATAGAAAGAAAAAAAAAGGCCAATAAATTCAGATATTTTTTTTCTGACATAGTGTCATTCTTCTCTTTCAAAGTCTATTTGAAACAGTAGGGTTATTAACTGGTATTTTTTTCTCATAATATGTTTACAGTATCTTTGACATCTGATTTTCTATATAGAAATTTTGTAAAAAAAAAATTCCTATGAGTACATAGATTTAAAAAAAAAAATTTTTTTTTTAGCTTAACTTATCTATTTTGATATAGAATTAAAAATGAATATTTTAATATAAAAATATATAGATTAAATATTTATTTATTTTTTGATGAATGACTACATTTATAAACACAATCTGTTACATTTATTTTGTCATTTTAAAAATCAAGTGAAAAAAAAATTCAATTAAAATTATGGTTTGCTTATGTTTGTTTGTTTGGTTTGTTTTAATAGTTAAAGTACAGGGGTCTGTCCAAGGGAAGTTTACTACTGCTTATTGGTACGTTCACAAATTTAACTTTAGGAAAAACGGTAGAATAATTTCACTAAATACTTTTTTCTTAAAATTTTATTTTTGTGTCTCGTAAGAAACGATAAATCCAAATTTTTAACATATTTGTGTTGATTTTTTAATTTAATTTTTAATTTTCAAAAATTATGTCTAAATTTTTACAAAATAGTTATCTCTCAGAAAAACCTAGATGACCCATAAAGTATTCTTTAAATTCTCTATTTCAACTAGTCTTTAAATTTCAATCATGCATTTGTTTCAAAATGGTTGCTATGCATTCGAAGCTATGTATTATAATGAAAAATTATTTAGTCAGTTAAAATATTGTTATAATATAGTTTTAATAATAATTTAATTTTGATTAAGCATTTATAAAGTTTTTTTAATCATAAATTAAAGTTCTTACAGTGTATTTGAAGAAAAATAAAAAAAATCTGATTTAAATATAAAAAAATCCCATTTAAATAAAAAAATCATGAACCCTGCTTTTACTAATGTAAATGTTGTAGTTGCACAACCACAATATAAATTTAAACAAACAAGCAAATCATTGCTATTAATTTATAATTTTGTATAATTATGTGTAAATAACCTAAAATTCTAAATTTTGTAAATTTTTTTAAAAAATTTCATGCCTTATTTTGGCAAAGCCATGTGGAGAAAAGTCCAAAACAATATATATATGCATATTTTTCTTTTATAGGCATGGAAGAAAGCATTCCATAATGCCATCTAATGTCAACTATAGGGCTAATATACATGCTCTTAAAGAACAAGGCTGCACACATGTGATTGTAACAAATGCTTGTGGATCATTGAAAGAAGAAATAAAACCAGGGGAGCTTATATTTCCAGACCAGTTTATTGATCGGTTTGTATAAATCTCAAAATCAACTAGGAACGTTTAATAGAGTGTCTAAAATTTGACTCCTGATTTGAAAAATTAATTAAAGGAAGGAAGTAAAAATGTACTTTTTACTGTGTCCCGTTTAAGAAGGAAGAGAATTTCTTTTCACCTTGTTTCAAAATCAATAACTAAAATTAAAAACTGGAAATTTTTTTCTTTCAAACTAATCACCATTAACAGCAGCACTCTGCTGCTTACCTGAGAACCAAATGACTTGCCAAAGTTGCAACTCATTTTTTTTGTTGATATAATGAAAATATTGTTTTAATTTTTTTTCAATTAGCTACAAAAATTAGCTTCATTATTGACAAACTTAGGAACTCATTTTGAATTTGGAGTGTTTAAAAAAAAAAAGAAGAATCCCTGGTTTTTTAAGTTGGTAGCTGCAAAACTTATTTGTTTACCTTCTTTTTTTTTTATTGGATTTTCAAATTGTTGGTCATCTTTAAGACAGCCAATATTTAATAATTATATATTTTGTGTTACAATGTTATTAAATTATGTATGATGTTTTCTATGCTTGGGAGCCCTGCAAGCTCTTAACTGTCTATACTTCTATGTTACTGTTTTTGATGTGTTTTGATTCCATTTGGCTCACAACATGATCATTATGTTTTGAGACTATATTTAGTAATATTTCTTGTATATGTTTATTTTTTTACCTTATTTGTTATTTGTGTTTAAAAAAAGATTCTTTATAAGAATCGTCATTTCACGACCTGTTATTTCAAGACTTAAAAACTGTCACTTGAAAAAAGAATCCTTATAAACATGTCTTACCTTGTTAACAATATACCAATTTCGGAATTTAGACCTAAATGATAATTTGTGAAATTAACTTAATCTCAATGCTCGAACAATGTCCTAACACTAACATATGATGAGAGACAGCTTACTCCAAGAACACGCAGTAATGAACAGTAAAAAGAAGCCAAATCAGAACTGTCAAAAAGAGAGTTCTTTCTAAATCTAGCAACAGTGGCACCTTTTTTAACAATACATCCCTAAATAACTGAAAAAATGTTTCACTTCAAACTCATCAGAATTACTTAATATCATTAATATCTTATGAAATACAGCAATTTTGAGCTCAGAAATTATATAGTTTATTTATTTTGTTTAAAACAAAATATCTGTTTGAAAATATCACTCACATAATAAGCTGTAGTAAGCAGCTGTATACTTTCTAACCGGAAGCAGTCAAGAGCTCTAGATTGTTTTTGTTTAAATTTATATTGAAAATACCAGCCATATGTCTTGAGGTTCCATAATTACTGTTCAATAATTTTATTTTCAAACATATTTTGTATTAAGTTTCAAATTAACTTTCCCTATATTACATATTTAATCTAATCAAGTATTCATTCCAATACTTGTCTTGACAGATAGATTAAAAAAAATAGTGTTTAGAATATGTAAAATAAAATTCCATTTTAAATAAAACGATTTATCAAGTATATTTCTAAAAATTCAATTCAATTAATCATTTTAAACCAATTTTGTATGGAAAAAATTTTTTAAGAAAGAAAACTAAATGCATGTAAGTTTTGAATTATAATTCAGCAGTGTTTAGTATGGGATATATTTATGATTTCTTTAAAAAAGAAGCAATCGACGCAATGCTTTTACATAAAATGTTTTCATCACAAAACAACATCAACACTATATATATATAAATGTGTTATTATATTAAATTACTATAAATTAATTTTATTTTTATTGTAGATAATTTAAATTTTGTTTTTGATATTTATGTAGGACTACAAAAAGACACAGTACCTTTTATGATGGAGAGCCTACTTCTCCAAAAGGTGTTTGTCACATACCAATGCATACTCCTTTTTGTCCTGATACTCGTCAGGTGCGTTTTCAATTGTTTTAATCATTTTATAATTATTATTATAATTTTAATCTATCATCTTAAATTCTTTATAATATAAAAAAGTACCAACTTTTACATTTTTTTACTGAAAATTCTTTTTAATGGTTGATGTGAAATAACAACTATAATTTATTATTTTTTAAAAAAAAATCATATGGTATCTGTATTCTCAGATCATGTATTTATTTCTGATAATTTAGCAAATATAAATACTGTTTTGTCTTACAGGTGCAAACTTCTCTAAGAACATACTATGTATACAGAAAAATATTTACCATATACTAAAAAGAAAAATGTGGTTTAAAAATTTTAGATTTGATTTTTTTATGAACCTCATTCAAAAAGAAAAAGAAAAAAAAACACATACTTTTTCATTGGTAAGGTGTAAAAAGTATCAAGAATTTTTTCAAGTTTAATTTTTTTAAGTGTATGTCATCTTTATTAGTTTTTTAAATAATAATTGTTTTGTATTTAGTCAATAGAAAAAAAAGCACCCAAAAGGTTTTTTTTTTTAAATTTTTATTTAGCCCTACATTTAGTAACTCCCTTTTTAGAAGTAAGAATCAAGCCACTATTGTGTAAAGATAAATTTTAATATTTGTTTGCTAAATGTTAATTGTAAATCCTTATATATTTAAATATACTTTACTTGTTTTTTTTTTCTTTCTTTTTTTGAATGGAAAAATTTTAAATTATGGCATATTGATTTATTACTTAAATTTTTATTTTCATTTTACTATGAGGAGAAATATGGAAAATTAAATGTCATGAAATAAAAAATTGCAGAAAAAATATAGTTACCACAACAATAACTTCCAGAATCTTAAAAATGGCAAAAATACAAATTTTATATGGATTCAAGCCAACCCGTGTTTGTTTGTTTTCCGGAAAATTAAGGGTTTTATTATTTTTTTTTTAGAGAAACCCAATTGTAACTTTTATTTTTTTAAAAAAAAAACAAAACAAAAAAAAACAATACTAAATGGCTGTAAAATTGATATTGTGAAAAGTGCCATTGTATATCCAGAATCTTCAAAACTTCTGCATGTCCAGGCAATAGATTTCTCTTGATAATAGATCTTTAAAGTAAATAAAGATCAAAATATGTTATTTAATAAAATAACAAGAAATGAATGATAATTAAAGTCAATATTTATACAATAACATTTTGTTATCAGTTACTTGAAATTTTGAAAATGAAATAATGTTAAGTAGGATGAAATAAATGTCATTAATATAATATTTTTTCTTAAAAAAAAAGTAAGCAAAGATATGTTGAACTTTCTTTCAATGATTAAAGATATTTTCTCTTATATTTATTTAATGTGAAGAGCAAGCAGTGCAGATATTCAGATAAAGATAAGATTGAAAAGCAAGCTTCAGATTGGAATGGAGAATCAATCCTATTTAAGGAAGTACAAAAAAAAATACTATCAAACTAGAAATGGAATGGAGTAGATTTTTTTTAATGGAAATATTGTTAATTTGACCCAAAACAAAGCCTATCAGCAGGTGTTTCTTTCAAACATTATTAATATTAAGCTTAATAAATATTCATAGTTTATTCCTCTCACTGAAATTTTTTATTTATTTATTTTACTGTTTTTGTTTTTCTGACTATTCTTAAAGTGTTCTCTTTAATGCAATGCAATCTCTTTAATGCAATGTTTGCGTATTCTAAATGCAGCAACGGTATAAAGAAAAAATATTTTTTTATTTGGAAAAAAGAAAAGAAATTTCTTTATTTTGATTGTTAAAAAGTATCTGTAACAGGGTGCGTAGCGTTTGTAAAAAGTACTTAAAGGTGCTTTTTTGGGGATTTCGTTTTTAAAAGCTTTTAAAGGTGCTTTTTTCAGCTGGCGTTTTTAAAAAGTGCTTTTTTTTCGAATAATTTTTTTTCTTTCCTTCAGTGATATCTGGTGGATCCCATGCATTTCACGAAAAATGGGGAGTTTGCTACGAAATCATTGACGCGGACTTCATGTCGTACCCATGTTATGACTTGCGCATGCGCACACTTGAAACCGAAACCCGAGTGCTCCAATTCGGATAGAGAATATCAGATCCTTATGAAATGTTTTTCTTTTTAATTTAATTTATTTTTGTTCTTGTTTATTTTATTTTACTTCTAACACTTTTTTTGACGTAGGGGGTAAGGGTACTTTTATTCTGAGTTCAGGGTCAAGTTGAATTCACTCAGTGATGCGGGAAGGTACTGATTGTTTTGATTTACGCCCATTTCTTTTTTGTTTTTTTTAACGCTAAAACTGTTTATAAAAAGTTTTTGTTTTTCAATTATATCATTGATAGAATATGAATTTTTTGAGTGCTTGAAAATTTTTGTAAAGTGCTTGAAAAGTTTTTAAAAAGTGCTTATTTTTGATTCAAAGATTTGGCTACGCACCCTGTGTAAAATAGATGTCCGGATATGGACTTAGTACTGTACATACATATATGTAGTATTAAATCCTCCTTGGCAAGGGCCGTCAATTTTTTTTATCATCAATCCCAAAAATTTTATAATTCTCTTATTGACCTCCTCTATAAAAAATAACCAAAGAAAAAAAACTCAACCTGTTTCTGAAATGATTTATTTTATTTTCACAATTCAGCAGTTTTCATAGCATCATTGTTAAAAGTTTTCCCACTAAAAAGGCCCAAAGGTTTTTCTTTCACTCATTTGTTTTGATATAAAACCAAATCTTATATAATCCCCTGAATACTGCCCGTATGACCAGTCAAATTCTGAAAAGCAATGTTTTATGTTCACATGTTATGCAGATCTTTCAAATAATTAAAAAAGCATTTCAAGAATTTTTAAAATATCTTATTGAAACATAGTTTTGAGTTTTAAAAATTTTTGATTACAGATTAAAATATTAGCTTGTTAAAAATGGTATATTTATAAATTGTTCTTTCAAAATTTCAATTTATAAAAATTTTATAAGTATATGTTTTTTTTTCTTCTTTTTTTTAAATTAAAGATTCAAGCTTTCTTTATATACCCAGATTTTAAGTAAGAATTCTACGTTTTTCAAATGGTTATTAAAAAAAATTATTTACATTTTTCAGATTTTGAAAGAAGTTGCATGTGAATTAAAATTTCCGTACCATGAAAAGGGTACCATAGTTGTTATTGAGGGACCACGATTTTCAACTCAAGCAGAAAGTCATCTTTTTCGATCCTGGGGCTGTGACATCATTGGCATGACTACTGTCCCTGAGGTAAACAGCCATCATGTCCATTACTTCTTAAGTCTTCTCTTTTCATTTTAAGATAATTTATGATCATATTTTCTTTTAAGGTTGTGCTTGCTAATGAACTTGGCCTATGTTATGCTACTATTGGTCTGCCTACAGATTATGATAGTTGGAGATTTGATAAAGACGGAGTAAGCTGATTTAGAATTTTATTGAAAATGTATACTAAGTTATTTCTGCATTTATTTAATATCTTTTGTGTTCTTAAATTCTTTCTGGGGATGATTTATGTAAAATATTAAATTATGTATTTTTACTTGCATAATATTTTTATAAAACCCAATGCCTTGTCCTGGGAAGTGATCAGGAATGTGTCAAGAATCTATTAAGTTATTCTGGTGGTAGCAGTGCTACTGCTAAAGTCTCATAAGCGGGGCAGTTCAGTAATACCCTGGTCTTCCAAGTTTGAGATTAAGCATAGGGTTAACAATCTTATCTTGTTTTTTCAAGATTCGGTTGTTACAAAAACTGAAAAATATGAAATAAGGATTTTTAAATTTAGCTAAAGGAATATCCTTTCAGGATGCATTTCTTTTTTCATACTATCAATGATCCATCACCTATCATTTAAATTTAAGTATTTTGATTATTATTTACTAGTTATTATTAAATTAGAATTATATACAAATGCCTATCATATTATTTTATAGTAATCAATATTAAGAAGCATTTTTGATGTTTCTAAATCTCTTTATTCCTGATTTTTATTGTTTTGGTTTTAATAATAATTGGAGTGATGAAAGGAAATTAAAAGTTTTGAGTTAAATGCATTTTATCTGTTGATAGTTTAGTTACTTTCCTACATAATGGTTTCGTGCTTTTCAAAAATGCTTTTATAAATAAATAAGTTGCTTTTATTACATACCAAAGCATCGTCTATAATTATCTTAAAACTAATGTACTATTAATTACATTGTTTCATTGAAATACTAAGTTTTTGAAGGTTTTATTTGTATATTTAAAAAAATTTAAACTAAGTTAGGAATAAAAAATCATACAGCTGAACTCGTTTATAAGGAATACAAAAAAGACAGAAGTAATTTCTTGATAAATCCTGATGCTGATTGAATCCAAGTAAGTCAGAATTAAATACTTTATTTTATTTTTTTTTTTTTTACAATTTCAAGGAAATTGTTTGATAGAAGCTAGGAAGGATTTATAAATAAATACGTTCGAGTACTAAAATTGCTGACGTATGACTTTCCGACAGCAAGTTTTGATGGAAATAAGTTTTTTAATGACTGAAAAAAAAACTAAATATAGGGTTACTTTTTTGTATCTAACAAGAATATGGGTAATAATGTTTCAAATCTGACAGGGCATGAAATAAATCATCTGTTACTGAAGTAACTCTGTTAATTAAGATGGAATGGGAAATACTTAAAATAATAAAGCAATTATTGCTTATCTATAACTGCAGTTAAAGAAAAGAACATTAAAAAAACTGAAATAAGTCTCGAGTTCTTATTTTTTCGAGAGTTAAATTTTTTTGTTTGTTTAAAAATTTTATAATCAAAAGATTTCAATAATGCATGTGGAACAGAAGCTCTAACTCAATGGTACTTTGAAAAGTGTTTTGTAATTTTATGTACCACATTATGGAAATTTTTTTTTTCATTATTAAAATGTATCTATTATAATAAAGGGATCAGTTTATGTGTCTGTCTCTCTTATAACTTCATAACCATTTGTGCTAGCGTTCAGTAATTGTGACAGTTGCAGCAAGGGGTAATTTTAACTTCCAATTCTAAAATCTAATAAGGATTTTTAATCAGTTTGTTCAAAAACTATGTTTTAAAATTTTTTTCTCATATGCATTGGTGAACATGAGAAAAATTCATTTTTGAAACAGAACGCTACTGACTGTTCAATTATTTAAAAGAATGAATGTGATGTTTGCTAGCTTTCCCTTTTGAATCAAAAATGAGTTTTAATGGGAGTTTATTGCATGTTTTTTTCATAATTATTTATTTTTATTGATTATGTCAGATAAATATAATTAAAATTAGCTTGAGATAAACCACCAAATTAGTAGTTAGGAAATGATCTGAAACTGTATGTTAAACTCATGTATAGTTATGCTTTCAAAAATTGTTTCTTTAATGGTACTTGAAATAAAAAAAATAAATTATATACTAAAGTGCAAATTGATTGTGGTAAATTTTGACTATCATGTTGCAATCAATAGTATTGAATTGCACAATTTTGATGTGTGATAATCAGCTGCATCATTCTAGTACTAAATGACACTGAGTAAAGATGATTCATTTATTAATTTTTTTAAACTTGTTTTCTGATTCTTAAAATCTAATCTTTTCATGAATCTCATAATGTAAAGCCAATAAGAATCAATAAAGAAATAATAATTAAGAATTAAAATTATTTAAACTTTTTAAATGTCTCTGTTTATGCTTTTCTGTTTTGTGCACGATTGTATTGTGTTATTTAATACAAATTTATGTAATACTTTTTACCCATTACTGGTCTTGAATATAGTTAAACATTGAAAGTTTTACTCATATAAATAATCTATTGTTTCCTTTACAGGTGTGTGTTGATGAAGTTATGGCAACTATGAAAGAAAATGCACATAGGGCTTCCCAGGTTATTGTAAAAGCTATCCCTGCTATTGCCAAGAAGGACTGGTCATCAATTTTGGATAATCACCTGGTAATTAATAAAATTTTATTCTATTTTAAAGTATGGATAGTTTTATTGAATGTGCCTGTAATGTTTTTTTGAATGACATAAATCCATACTGCTGAATATACAAGAATACAACTACTATGAATCTGTAAATTTTTTTGTTTTTATTAAAACTTTTATTTTTGTTGGTTTCATAATAATTTTTTTTGATATAAAAATTATTGTTTTAGTATCAATTCAATAATGTATTTTCTCTGATAGTTTTTTAATTACTTTCTTATTTCAGAAACTTCTAAAAGGTTGTAATGTTTATAGGCAAAAGTAAAGATTAAAATTTGTTTTAAACTTAGTTGTATTAAAATTATTTTGTGTCATAATTTTCAAAATACTTTTTCGGTTTCCATAAATTCCACATTCTGTTCTTATTAGATTAATGTGAATTTTTATTATATTTTTTGCACATGAATAATGAGCATTAATAGTCATTTTGTACCATTCTACACCTATCCTTTACTTTAATTTATTTGTTACAAATTATTCGAAGTTATTTTCATGATATTAGCAAAGATTCTAAATTATTTAATGCATATTTCATTAAAAATATTGTTTTTATGATATATTTGATTTATTTCAACCTCTAAGTTTAAAAAATCAATATTTATATGTTAAATAAGAGATATACACTAGTGTGCAAAAGCCTTCCCAAAGCCTTATTTATAATTTATATTATAAAATTCAACTAAATCTCAGCTTTACTTTAATTTTGAAATTTTATTGATGAATATAAACATGTTGTGTTACACAATCTTTCAATTTCTGAGCTTCTATTATTTGATAAAGTAAACAAACGTCTTAATGAGTGCAACGTAATCGGTTATTTGTATAATAATTGGGGTGTTTCAAATTCTATTTATTAATATTCTATTTATTAATATTCTATTTATTAATATTCCATTTATTAATATTATTTATTAATATTCTATTTATTAATTATTCTATTTCTAAATATTATTTATTAATATTGATATATCAATTCTATTTATTAACATGAAAAAACATTATAAATAAAGTTTATCTCATTTTTTTATTACGTTTGGTTTATGAAAACTTTTAGGTTTGGGCAAATACTTTTGCACGTTAGTGTATGTATTTTTAAAAAATGCATGTTTGTATTTGTTGCATAAAAAAATTTTGTTTAATTTTTTAGCAATGTGCTGATTCATCTGTTATGCGTTAAAAGTGTGATATGTTAAAGGTTATAGGTAAGCATACTAAAAAGAATAGATAAATACTGTTGAATATTTATCATGTCAATTGTTTTCACCCAAAAAAGTTTCTTAACCAAAATTGATTTCTGAATCTTTTTTCTTTCTTTCTGAAAACTCAATTTTTTTTCTATACCAAGTACCACAGAAACGTTTCTAAGTATTACAGGGGAAATATCATCAATGCCACAGTAAATACAGTGGCATTTAAGTTACATAAGTGCATAAAAATAACATAAATAAAATTTACTTGACTCAAGCATCTAGGATAAGAATCTAAGTGGTTTCAGCACTCTTACTTTATTTAAAGTGAATAAAAAATGCTTCACTTTTAATGTGCAATCATATCCGAAAAAATGATAATTTTAATCATTTTTTAAAAATTTTCCCTAAAAGAACTCGCAGTCAATGGAGGCATTTTTCAGTCAATAGAAGTAAACAAACATTTTTTAAACTCTTATTTTGAAGTGGTTTTTATCAAAAAAATGAGAAAGAAAGAAAAAGGTGAAAACTAAATTGGAAATTTTTCTTTCAAATTTTTTGAGTATCATTGACTCTACATTTTTGCAATTCACTCAAATTTGCAGGAAGTTTTTGCTGTAGCACGTAACAATGAACTCCCTGGTAAAGTGCATATTTAATTGAATGGTTTAAAACCACTCAGAGATGTTTGTTATCCATCCCATCAATTTTTATTATTTTATTTCTTTTAAAAAAGTTCTCATAAATTTTATTATGTTAACTACAGTTTTTAATAAATTTTCCAAATATAAGAATCTGATTTTGATGTATAGATATGTTCAACAAAATTTTAAATTTAGAAAAGAAAATACTAGGAGGAGCAAAACCACTGCAAATATTCTTATTGACTACCAGAAATTTTTGCTACCTACCAAGTTCTTGGAGCCATATATATATATATATGGATGATAGTTGACCCTTTGTCAACCCAATACATCCTATACGCTCTTAATTAGGATCAGGTTTGGACTCTTGACTGGCCAGTTCAATTGGTGTTCATGTTCTTGTGTAAGTGCATCTGTGTACACCTTATATTATAATTATGCTATTAGCCCACCTAAATAGTCGATGCACAATTGTTTTATAATTTGAAAAATACAGAAACTGATGATGAGTATTTGACAATCTTTTAGATCAGTTAAAAAATCATAAAAATAAAATATGAAAATATGTCTGTGATAAAAAGTCTTTAATTCTTCTTTTAAACCTTGTTTATGTACGAGAACAAGATTTAAAAATTAATATTGAAAGTAACAAGTGATTATGGAATTGAATAATTTCTCTTTTTTAGGTTAAAAAGAATCATCGTAATGTTGTGCCATATAAAAATTTGTTGAAGATTTCAAGTGCCATTCTGTTTTGTTTCAAAAACGTATCCATTTGTGTCGAATATTTCTGCAAAATAAATGAATCTCTGCTAAGTTTTCTTAAACTTGTGTTATTAAATAAGACATGATTTAAAATTAAACCCTATAAATATATTTTTATTTTATATTGAACTATTAAAATACAAATTTTTCACGAACAAAATGTGCTTTTTTCTAGTCTGTCCTTCAAAGTCATTTTACAATGATTGAACTGAATTTGCCACATGAATTGTAATTTTTTTTTTCTCTTAATAAAACTTATTTTTAATATGTATTTGTTTTCTTAATTGTGGTGACAATTGTTGTTGCTTAGCCGTATGGTTTAGTGTTCAGTGGAAGCCCATATGTCCTTGTTTTCCACACACAATGTAGTAAGGCTATTCTTTTGTTAATTAATACTTTCTGAAAAAATCAAAATATACTACTTTACTCCTATCTGGGATTTTTAGAAATTTATCTTTTTAAATAATTTTAAATGACACAAAATAATGACAAATATAACTACAGTACAGAACCCGTTATCCGGAAATCGAAAAACCGGAACGAAATTCGATAAATTTTCCAGCCATTGAAAAAAAAAATTTTTTTTTCCTCATGAGATTTTAGGATTTTTCCTTCTTTTTTGAAAGATGTTTACCTTACCATCAGTTTGGAAATAATCATTAGTGTATTGCTCCATCGTTTTTTCTTCTTTTTAAGATTATTTCCAAAAAAAAATGATTTTTTTTTAGTTGGGTTTAACAATAAAAAAAGCGGCTTTTTGGAACGATTCAGAAAACCGGAAAAATCAGTTATCCGGAATCGCGATGGTCCCGATCGGTCCGGATAATCGGTTCCCTACTGTACTTTTCTTTTATATTCAAATAAAGAGAGCCACTATGTTTTTTTTTTAATTTTTGCATCATGATACAGAATTTATGTCTAGAATTAATATTAGTTTACATAATTTTTGATAATTAAAACATCATCTTGTTAAAATGTTTATTTACAATGATAAAAAACTTGAAAGTAGGTTTTCACTATATACAAAATGTTGAGATTCCCTTTTGTCTGAGGAAGTTTTGTTAGCCTTTTGCAGCCTTTAAAATTTCCATCTATGAGCTAGGTGCCACTTCATCCAACCAATCCAAATAGCTTGTTACTCTCGTGTAGACTCCTGGATAGCCAGCTCTTGCACATTGAAATCCAAAAGAGACTATTCCAACTAAATAATAAACTCCTTTCTCCAGAAGCATTAATGGGCCACCAGAATCTCTCTACAGAAATATATACTTTTATTGGTATGTTTTTATATTGAAAAATTTTCAGATTTTAAAATTAAAAAATATGTAATACATCAGTATCAAAAACTGGTAAATTAGTATAGATCAGGGTTGAAAAATTATATTGCCCGTCATACATTGGGTATGTATTTTTTATTCTTACGTGCCCGACCAGGTATTTAAATATTTAATCTAAAAGAAACTAAGCACTATCTATTGATTATAATAATAAGAATTTTTAAAACAAATTTAGCTTATTATTTTTTATTCCCATGTTTTGCTTATTTTGGTTAAAAAAAAGTTTACTGTAATCATTGAGTGAAATGTGAAAGAAACATTTTTAATTTAATGAAATTCGATGATGACAAAACAGGTTTTTTTTTATTCATTTCGACTGATATTTATATTTTAAAGTAAGAGGGAGTATGTGGTTATAAGTTTCTTTAAATAAATAGATATGTATCTTCATATGTTTCTATCAACGCGCATTAAGTTACAACTATTTTGATATTTTTTGTGCCCTGATATGTATATGTACAGCTTTTTTATTAATTCTTAAAAAAATAAACTAATTCTTTTTTTTTTTTTTTTAATTTTTACAACGTAATCTCTTTTTAGCACATTTTTACTACTGTTTCTCCAACTTTCTTATAAGCCTTTTGAAAAGTAGAACTTTGGAAAGTCTTCAAGTCTCTTTGAGCAAATGCTTTCTATCTTACATATTTCAAGTTAAGAAATAAAAAAATCACCAAGGGCAATATCTGGTGAACAGTGGATGTTATAATTATTGAAAATTTCAACATTTACAATTCTCACCGTATACAGGGTACGTAGCGTTTTTAAAAAGTGCTTAAAGGTGCTTATTTTCGATTTTCGTTTTTTAAGGTGCTTTTTTCATTGGGTGTTTTTAAAAAGTGCTTAATTTTCCCCTTTTCAAAATTAGATTTTTCCTATACTATGTTGATTTTCACTTCTAATTATGCAAAAAGATACAGTTAATATTGTTCTTTCTATTCAACGTTTTCATAATTAATTCAACTCCTATCTATTTCGGCGTACAGTCAGTCCGTAGCGTATGAAAACGCCATTCGTTTTACATAATTCAAAATTTCATGCTTTTTGACAATTGTCAAAAACAATGCCAAAAGGTTTTTTTTTTTTTTTTGACATGATGGTTGAAACAAGATAAAACCGTCGATTGTCAAAATCTTTCCAATCCTGCCTAATTTTGATATTTTTTTAAAGTGCTTAAAAATATTTTTTGTGTGCTTGAAAAGTGCTTAAAAGGTGCTTATTTTTTGTTGAATTATTTGGCTATGCACCCTGGTATAGTTCTTTAATAGAACTCAATATCAGATTTAAGAATTAATTGTTTGTTGGATTTGACTAATATACTCAATTTCAACGTGAAGCAGCATTTAAACGAAAATATTGCTAGTTGATAAATTTGTCACACAATAAATAGTATTTTTTCTTTTTTGTATTCTTATCCCTGAAGTAAGTGTTTTATATTGAAGAAAAAAACTCATCACAATTTGAGAATTAGTTTATTTTGTACACTAACAGAGTTAGTGTTACTGATAGATTATAAAACCTTACTGTGCTATAAGTAACAGAGCAAGGTTTTATGATCTCATTAAAAATAAGTTATTACTTTTTATGGCTATTTATAGGTAAGATCACAGGAAGAGTTCTATTTTTGTTAAAGAGATTGAGCTATAGGGTCATTTTGATGAACTAATTATAAACATTGAACTGAACACTTACTGAGCAAGCATCCTTTCCTCCTTCAAGTGTCCCAGCACAAATGAATTGACGGGTAATACCTTGTGGTAATGACCTACCTCGGTTGTCTCTGTAAGATTCATCACAGGCTGGTACATCAACTACTTGCACAGTTACTTCTCTTAATACTGTGGCACTTTTACCTCCTGCAAAATAATATTAATGAATTTCAGAAAAATATATATGTTGCTAATTTGAAAGTGTGAGACAAATTAATTATGAATCAACAAGAAACAAGTTAAATTTTGCCATCTACTTTGAAAAACTGTCTCAGTTTGTTAGCAATAAATACTGATACCTACCCCTTGCGGTTTGGCTTTCAGTCATTTTGAGTCCTATTTAGGGATACATTTACCATATCCCAAAGAGTTAGAAAGTTATATTTGTTGGACTGTCTAGAATATAATATATATATATANTATATATATATATAAAGCAATTGCCAAGAGGTAGTAGGACAAAAATGTTTATTTAACCATTATTATCAGAGAAAAATCATCCAAGTGACAATCTGAAAAAAAAATTTGGTAAAATCTCGACAAATAATCAAGTTGATATGTTACGTTTCAGGGAAAAGGGAAACGTTAGTAATTTTAATTGGTTCATTAAATAGGTTGAGAGGATGATATGGTTCTCACAGTTCAGTTAAAGAGAAAATTAAAAATGTTAATGCATGCATACTTAAAATTTAAATGTAGAACCAAAAGAGTGGATGTATAATAAACTGTGAGAAACTGTTTAATTTTGAATAATAAATTATGAAGAAGATTTAGTTAAAGAAATAACATAAACAAAAGAAAAAAATATATACTGAAAGCCTTTTTTTTTTTGTGGAAGCTGCGATACTCTAAAATTTAGAGGTATTTGGAAAATTTCATTACATACTTCATCAACTTTTTTCTATATATTAAAATTGCCACTTGCTTTTGTCTGCACAATGTATGATGAGACATTGTTTTAATGTACCTTTATATGCTAAATCAAATGAGGCCGATTTCAAGACCATCTAAATAATAGTTTAGAAGTTAAAAGGTTTTTATGTACAATATTGTATTTGTACATGTTTATGCATCTAAATATTACTGTCGAAATAAAAGAGGCCTTGTTTCTTATGTATTTTTTACGCTAAATCGATTGAGACCACAAGTCTAAAGATGAATAGTACAGAAGTGGTTAGATTTTTATATATGAAAGTACTACTGTTGATTTGTTATGTACTAGTGCAAAATTGTATTTTTTGCACATAAATTCTTCATGGCTCAGAAACTATCGATCGGTCTTATGGGTCTTATTCGATTCAGTGTTAAAAATACACCAAAAAAATAACCTCAGTCTAAAAGCGATGTAAGTTTCTCCCCCTATTTCTTGCTATCGCTGAAACCCGATGCTCGAAGTCGTACCATTTTTTACCACTTACTATGAGGAAGGTACTTAACAGTTCGTTAAATCGCATTTTTGAGCTTTAACTTTACTGATACTACATGTTGGATGGAAATGAAAGGCGTTCTTAATAGTTTCCTTTAACTTACTTTTATCGCCCTTCATTTTCATCTGACAAACTAGTTTTAATGGTGGATGACTTTAATTGTGATGTAATTAATCTCGATATTGATTTTCATATTTTTAAACTAACTTCTCTATTCACTGAAATATTAATCTATTTAATAGATTTCTATGAGTTCATGTTTTATAAGGATTCAAAAAATTTCATGCTTTAAGGGCAATGATTATAGAACATTCTGCATTTGTGTTTGCTTACCAAATTCTTGATCGCCCCATCCTGTTACAGTTACATCTCTGCCTTGCAGTTTTTTCCTCCTAATGTCTGGCTGCGACGGTAGACAAATGGGTCTGACATTTGGTTCAAAATTGATTCGATCTTTCAGGCGTATCACAGCAATGTCGTTGTAATGTTCTCTTGGTCTGTAATCGGGATGTATGGTAATGGAATCGATGAGGTACAACGTCCCTTCTCTGACGTTTGAACTTCCAACGCGAACTGAATAACGGGTTGGTTGAACATTTCTGAAAGTTACGATTCAATGAAATATGAGAAAAGAGAAATAGTTTAGTTTGAGATTGAAAATTAATCTGAACTTTTGTACTAACCTATTAATCTAACCTTCATTCGCTTCAAAAATACACGGATTGGAAATTGGACAGTGATCAAGAGGGGCAAATCAAATTATTGAACGTTTGAAACATGTTATTAACGTTGATTAAACATTTGAAACATGTTGAGATGTCGACTGTTATTTCCAATTTGTGTATTTTTGAAGCAAACTAAGTATTTAATTAAGTAATATCTTGCTGTTAAGTAATATCTCGCAGTTCTTGGAATTCTTTAATTGAAAATCAATGTCATTAGGTATAAAAGAAATCTAGATAAATTCAGGTATAAGAGTTTTATTTAAGTTGGAAAGAATTCTTCAGATTACAGAGAATTAGGTTTTAGAATTAAATTTTAGTTAGATTAGAAAGAATTTCGGAGTAGAGGGAAAATTTGGTTACTAGCCTACCCGAATGTCATATCTTAATCTTATTAACTACGTTATGATTTAACTACGCAAGACAGCGACCGAAAAGTTAAGTTCCATGCTGTTAATTATTGTTTACCATACTTCTGACAGAACACATTTGTATAATTCGTTTATTTAAAAATAATTTCGTGCGAAATATAATTTTAAATATTATTTATGTAAAAATGGTACAAAAAGTACATAGTACAAGTTACATTATGTTAAAATGGTATAAAAAGTTTTGAATTGTAAGGTATACAATTCGAAAAAATGCAAAATTTGAGCAAAATCGGTCGAATATACTCTGAGTAATGCAATTTCACAAAAATTCTATTTTTAAATTTTCATTTCTCATATACAACTCTACTGATTCCATTCAAAACTTTTATTTTTTATTCAGTTGAAATTACTACAGTTTTAAATCATATAAATATATGCATGTCTCACAGTTAAAAATTTTTCGACCATTATATTGAACAATAAAATAATTAAAAAAAAAATTTTTTGTGTTGAATTATCTTTGAATAAGCGAGTTTCACAATTGTGTTTTTTTTAATTTTTTTTTAGAATTTTTTAAAAAGTTCCAAAGACATGACAAGTACCCAAAATTTTGAATTAACGTAAAGGGGCCCTAACTTCCGACCGCCTAAATTATTGGGATCGTAGATCGTATTTTCTAGGTTCCGGTGACGCCCACCCCCTTAATTTTGGAGGTTACGAATCTAAATCTCTTGAAGAAAAAAAAAGTAAAATTCATTTTAATGTCTGACTTCGTGGCTTAAAATATCGTCTGCTCCAGTTTACATATTTAAATTCTATCACACGAGCCATTAAGATTCGCACGTGATAATCCGATTATTAAATCATAAGTTATTGAGGTTTTTCTTTTCTTATTTTGCGCACTATCTATCATGATCACAATTAAAATAAGTTTTATTAAGAAATATTTTAAAAATATCGTACGTTAGTTTATGTTACATACCTGCCACCACTTAATTTGAAACAATGGGCTGCTGTCACTAAATGTCTGTCATTGATAATGGCTGCTCCGCAAAGAAAATTCTCAACTCCAAAATTTCTTGTGTAAACACCAGCCTATAATTTGAAAGAAAATCGAGTTTAGTTTATTTAAAATACCCCTATTTGAAAGTTATTTACTATGAAAAGTTGATGTATATGGAATTTGTGACAAGTTTAACTCAAATAAAAACAATCGTTATACATAGTAATCTGATTTTAATTAAATAATAGTAATTAAAGCCCATTTAATTGAAACTGCTGATTTAATTTAGTATTGGTGACATTTTTATCAATACTTGTATGTATTGCGTAGAAAATATTCTAAACGTATTGATTTAGAATGAAAATATGTTTGACATATTTGGAATTTTTATTTATTCAAAGATGTTTCTCTCCCTAGAACGAACTCAACTGTCGAAGAGGTGAAGACGGAGAGAGAAAATATTAAATATCCTTTTTTTAGTTTTCACAAATAAACTGCTGGTGATTATTCACTTTGTCCAGTAGTATCTTTTGATCATCACCTTATCTTAACTTGAGGCGTGCAGTAATTTAAATTCTCTTTGAATTTTTATGACAAAATACAGTTAACAAGACAGTTTGGTAATCTAAGTTAGCTAAATAGTCTGTTTTTAAATTTTTGATAAATATCTTTATTTTTGTACAATTTACGTTATAAGAATCATCCAAATCGGTTTTCATCAGATTAAGCTGTAAAATTAAATTTTAACGAATCTGAAAACTGACAAAATGCGTGGATTTAAATTACAGATTGAAAACCACAAGTTACAAATTTTTATTGCCTCAAATTTTTGAGAAAAATTTCATGGAAGTTCTAAAATTTATCAAGCTCCTTTTCTCCTAACCCTAATCTTTATTGCCCACCTTTTTTGAAATATATTGTGTTGCCGAATAAAAATCATCAAAAGTTACAAAATAAAAAAAAAAAAAAAAAAAAAAAAAAAAAAATCACAAATTTAACCTAAAACCCAAGATGTTGTCACCTAATCTGAACTTGAAATAACTTGAGTATATAATACTTAGAAATAATACTCAAAATATGTAGTATATAATATTTATTTTATTCTTAATTTTCTAATAATTATTTTAAGTTTGTTTTAAAAACTGATCTGTACTAAGGCCGAATCACTAAACTATGGCAAATTTTATTTTTTACTTTATATTATTTTATAATCGTTATGAACAGCCGATCCAAATTTGAGTTTAAGATTACCAGTGTTCAACTCTGCATCCTTGTAATCTTGAACCCAATCCAGAAGACAAAGGAACACCTGGATCAGTACCCCTATAGGTATTGATTATACCTATATTGATTATTTATGGGAACTTGGAGGACTAAGTGGCCCCAGCAGATTTAACATGAAACAGTCACCATGTAATACGCAGGAATTCTTCTGCTGGCTGGACTCGATCTCCCGTTCTGACGAACACGAGTCCAACACCCTACCAACCAGATCATCCCGACTCCATGGCTTATTATTTATTAAAAACAAGTTTATAATTGTATAAATAAAAATTACCATCCAAGGCCAAGCTCCTATACTTGATTCTTTGCCTCCAGCGATTATAGGAAGTTTTGTCTTGTTAATGTGAAGTGCCATTTCAGGTATCATCCTCGGCATTTGTCTCTTAACTCTGTTCAAGTTTAATCCTTTAATTACTCTCGTCCCACAATCTGTAAGAAGCGATTACATTTAAGTGAAATTTTATGAAAATCAGTAAAAAAATAATTATTCACCTAATTTGTTATTCACAATCAAGAGGCTTTAGTGATCAGGGTTGCGATATGATTTTCCTGATTAATGGATCGAATGTACTCAACATACTACAGTCCGGATTTTTTTTATACTTTCATTTCATTATGAAATTTTTTTTCTCAATAAAGTACAGAATTTACAAACTCGCTTCCCAATGAGGCGACTCAGGATCAATTCTGGTTGATAAGAATTCTGCTCCTGGCTCGCACCGGCCACAGTGTTGACGTAAGACATCATCAGTGGTAGACGGATTATGGGATAGAATCTCTCGCCGTCGGGCTAACCGTTTGAGATTTTAGTGGTTTTCTTTTCCATGTAACACAAACTTGCGTTAGTTCCATCAAAGAAATCCTCCACGAAGGCTGGATTGTCCCAATGCTTGATCAGGAGTTCGCTTGTCTTCTGGGGTGGGTATAAAGTTACAAGGCTACGGAGTGGAGGTTGAGTATTGTTAGTCGTAAACTCAGAATTGGATCAGTTGTTCAAAGCTGGTCATGAAATGAAATAATATAAAAAAAACTCTGTATTTAGCAAAATTTTTGACCAAGAGAAAATTTCAACTCTTTAAAGCGCATTGGTTTCATGTCTAACACATTTATGATTAACACTATCGCAAATGACTGAATATATATACAGTTATTTAACTCTAAGTGCCATAAAAATTTACTTAAATTTTATATTAAGAGGGTTAAGATTGTAATTAAGTAACAGATAAAAAAAATATTTACTTTTTGTTCTTTGCGGTGTTCTCTTGATTCAGCTTTTTAATTTTTATTCGAAACAAGTTTTGAGTTATTTTAAAAGAGAGTCTTAGAGATCTTCCCGTATTATTTGCTTTTTAAAAATAAAACTTGGATAAATAATCTGCAAATGCTGTACTAATCTGCAACATCCGCTGTCGTGGTACTAACCATGTCGCTTTTAACAAAGATTCAAAAAGCTTTCCAGAGATTCAGGCATTTTTAAGAGAAATGCATCGTCAAGGAATCAAAGTTGATGAAATTTATTTTATTGATGATTAAATATTAAATAAAATGAAAATATTCTTTACTTGGCATTTCGAATTTTCTTGAGAGTGTGGGATCGGGGCAGCAGACTATCGGCATATCATTATTCCACTGACAGATTGTAGGCGTTTGACGTCGCCAATTGTCCATCACTTCTTTGCATTCCAGCAGTGAAACGCAGCTTCCATCCTTTTGGTCAGGTGTTTTACATTTTTCTGCATTATTGTTGTCTGTAAATCTTATTCCAGCAACTAAACAAATTTTTTAAAATAATTAAATCCGTATTACGTCTATTGGGTAAGTCTCCAAAAAACAACACAGTGGAAGAATTTTTTATTTTTTAATAATTTTTTTTTTAACTGTTGCATGAGAATTCATAACAGATCCTAAATACTTATGTTTCGCTGATTTCAAATCTGCAATAAATTTTTCTCTACAAGTTATAGTTTTTTTTATGACATATTAAGTCTATTTTTTGCAGAAACACATGTCTAGAAATGTCATCATGAGCCGTTAGAGACGCTCCCCTATTACGAACTGTTCTTTTTTCTTGTGCTTCGGAACACGTCATAATAGGAAAACTCCTCTAGTCACTTACAACGACATTGCCAGACATTTTTTTTGTTGTATGAGATTTCATAACAGATCTTAAATACATTTGTTTCGCTAATTTCAAATCTGCAACAGAATGCCATCATGAGTCGTCAGAGACGCTCTCCTATTACGAACTGTTTTTTTCCCCTTGTGCTTCGGAACACGTCGTAATAGGTAATTGGAAAGCTCCCCTAGTCGCTTACAACGACATTGCCAGACATGAGTTCCTAGGCAGTTTTAATTCTGATGATGCGTGTCCTTGCTCTAGAACATGGGTCGCCAAACTTTTTTGATCATCGACCCCTTTGTAATTTTTCGAAATCTCCATCGACCCCCATAAAAGTAATTTTCTGTTAATTAAAATAAAACTCTTTTAGATATTGTGTTTCGACATTTATTTTATGATTTTAAGCATATATTAAAGTTATAGTTCATTGTGTAACAATAGTTTTACGAAAAATATATTAATGTGGAAATTTAAATACCGTAATATTTATTAAGTAATAAGTAAAGTAACTACAGATTTATTGCTTCTTGATCAATGAGATGGGTGTGCCTGGTGTTTTTTTGCAAGGTTCGCTATATTGGGTTCAAAATTGGCCAATTTTAATCTTAAATCCCCTCAAAACTCCACATTCAGTTTATTTTTGTACTTAGTTCAGATTGAATTTACGTGAAAGTTAAAGACACACATGAGATTAAAATAATAATATTTTCAAAAATTTTGTAATTTTCGTAAAAAAATACAAAGTGTGCTATAGTTTTGTAGCGGGCAGTACTAATCCATATTATTATTGCTTACCTTCTTTTTTACACGTATTGATAGTTAAAATTGATATCTAAACTAAACGAATGGTTTTTATAATACAATAACTAATTATCCAAAATTATAAAAGTTTCAATAATGACACTGCAAATATTCAACACTGTTCACAGTTTGCAAAGATAGCTGAAACTGCGTATGATATTTGCGTTTGTAATGTCAATGCTCGTCACATGTGANCTAAACGAATGGTTTTTATAAAACGATAACTAATTATCCAAAATTATAAAAGTTTTAATAATGACACTGCAAATATTCAACACTGTTCACAGTTTGCAAAGATAGCTGAAACTGCGTATGATATTTGCGTTTGTAATGTCAATGCTCGTCACATGTGATATTTGGACAAGCGCACATATGCATATGACTTATAAACAAGAAGTGCAGAGTTCGTGCCACTGCACGCTGGTACGTAAATACTTGTTTCACCCGAATAAATATATGTTTATTAATTTATGTTCTATAAAGAAACTGATATTAAGTCTATAATAAAAAAAATTACAAATTTTACATACTTAATTAGGTATGTGTGATTTGCGTATTAAGAATTTTTTCTTCGACTCCCAATCGATCCTTTCGATTCGGATCGACCCCCATTCGACCCCCTGTCTCAGATCGACACACACTTTTGTTAAATAGACCCCTGGGGTCTATATAGACCACTTTGGCGACCTCTGGGTTAGAGTATCATTTGCCATCGGGTTAAACGTGGGACGTTCTTGTGGTCTTCCTCTCCATGTAACACAAATGCGGATTAGTTCCATCAAAAAGTCCTCCACGGAAGCAAATTTCTCGCAACACTTGACCCAGGAGTTCCCTTGTCTTCTGGGTTGGGTTCAAAATTACAAGGCAGCGTTGTTGAACATTAGTAGACGTAAACCCATAAAGTTCAGCCTGCTGTTTAACGACGAATATAGAAAGGGCCGACCAGTAAGATATTCTCACGTTTGTGATTCAATATTCTTTGACTTAGCGAAGATAACTTCTCTAACCTCTATCAATGACCATTTTATATTACTTAAGAACTTAATTTTAAATTAATCCGACTCCCTTTTCGGAAAAGTGTCTTGCTATTTTTCTCCAGTTAAAAGTAAATTGAACAAAAACACACATTCCAATATATGTTATGATGAAAGCGTGATAGAAATTGTCTTTACATTTCATATCTTAAGAAAATTTGAATTAAAAAAAAAAATATGTTGTCCAACTTATAGAGTATATAGTATTCACCGAAATAACAATACAAAAATATTTTTTAGTTATTTTTTTATGTATCAAAAACTTGGATGATTTATATATATTATTTTGGGTAAATTGTTCTAACAATCCAATATTGATGATTTTAGGAGCGACCATCCTCCCAGACAACTAATTTGTACTGATTAACCGAAAGTGGTTGCTAGTGAGAAGTTTCACTGAAAATATATTTCATATTAATAAATGTAAATCAGAAGTTGTTACAAGGCTGAGAAAATTAATTTGGTTACCAAAGTTGTTTCTATCTGTAAATGGGCTTTAAATGGCATTTGTTCAAATGCAGTACACTCTCGATTATCCGTGCGCAGATTATCCAGTTTGCGGATTATCCGTGCTCATTCCGGAGTCACACCAAAAATATAAAGTTAAACATTTTCAAGATTATAAAAAATTGATTCATGAAGTTATAACACTACCAAATTTTTGGAAGCAGTATTCGTTATTGGATTACAGAATATGGAACATCGTCTACGTTATCGCGATCTTGGAGAAAGATCATACCGCTTGATGAACAATCCTCTTCAGATGTTCAAGAAAAATATGATAACAGTATTCTCGAACAAGCAAAAGAAATCTAAGGTTTCGAAATTTTTGATGAAGAAAATTTAGAAGATTGGTTTCAAAGTGATGCATGTGAGCCTGTCTTCCAGTATTTGAGTATTGATCTTCACCGTTATGTTGTTCAATCAAACAGTGATGATAGTAACTGATGCAGAAGATGTAGTAAATGAATGAAATACAATTTCGCATTCTGCTGCTCTGCGGAAACTTTATTAGATTATATGGGAGGATTTGATTACGGTGACATTACTGCAGTTCGTAAAATATGTGTATCGATATATGGCGAAGACGCATTACACATTTTTCAATAAGGAAAATTCCTAGTTTGATGCTATGCATTCAAATGTCAGTAATTTTTATATTTAATGTACTAATATTGAATTTTTCTTTAATAAAAGGAGTTTTTGGATTATCCGTGTTTTTTGATTGTCCGTGCGACCTGTCCCGGTGATTAACCCGGATAATCAGGAGTGCATTGTAGCTGTAAATGGGCTTTTGATTTTTATTATTAATCTTTTAAATTTCGAAAAATTCCTCTCACCCTTTTTCTCCTCTCATTTTATCTGTTCAAAATTTTAAGAAATTGCATGTCCCTGACACAATCCATGACGATTAATAAAGCATCCAAAACGCAATGGTTACAATCAAGTCCAGGGTTGCACTGAATTTAACAAAAGAACAAGCATGACCAGTTTTTTTTTTTTTTGTTTCTTTTTTTGTTTTTCTTAAATTGTTTTCCCAGTAGAACAGTATATTTTTTAAAGGCTGACAAAAAAAAATTCTGTCACTTTTCTGCTTCAAAAAAAGGTTTCCCCCTTACGTTTTATTAATATTTAAGACTTTCCAGTTGCAGAAGTTAAAAGACTTCGAAAGCCAATACTGCCCAGTGTTCTTATATTAATATAAAGAGTGAAATAGCTTGGATAATTTTTATAACACTTAATGAATTTGAGGAGAGCTCACTGACTCACGATAATATATTATTATACAAGTAGAAAAGGCAAAAAACAAGTGTGATGTAAAAAATAGTATATTTATTTTTACCAGCAGAAGCTATTGAGCCGTGATGGCTTAAGGGTTAAAGCTTTCACCTTCCAATGAGGTGAACTGGGTTCGAATCAAAGCGATGGCTGGTCAATACGAATTCTGCATCCGGCTTACACTGACCACAGTGCTGACGTAAAATATCCTCAGTGGCAGACGTATCATAATTCAGTGTCTCATTGCCGTCAGACTAATCGTAGGAGGTTTTCGTGCTTTTCTTCTCCATGTAACGCAAATGTGGGTTAGTTCCACCTTAAAGTCCTCCACAAAGGCACATTTCTCTCAATACTTGATCCAAAAGTTCCCTTGTCTTCTGGATTGGGTTAAAAATTACAAGGCAACGGAATTAAGCAATAGTAGTTGTAAACCCAACAAATCTGGTTGGATGTTCAACGACGGTTATAAAAAAAAATAGCGCGTGGTGTCGCTCCGCGCGGAAGAAGTTAAACTTCGTAACCTGCGTCGTTAATTGTAGAAGAATTAGCAGTCGTGGAAGGATCACTAGTTCTATTCAACGACTCTTTTTCCTGCTCCGCTCGCTTTCGTGCTCTGTAATAACTATATACCGTTATTACTAATAACGGTAATATTGTGCATTTCTCCCTCGTGGACCTCTTGAACCAGTGGAAGTGCTTGTGGTTGCCTCATCGTCTCGCCATGGAAAATCCAGTTGTATTAATAATATATGTGAATACGTCATAATGTAATTTCAGAAGAAAAAACACAACAATCAATTGATATTCGCAAGAGACATACCTTGACATAATCTTGAATCCGTCGCATTGTCCGTGGGATTGTTTTCACTCATTTTTTACAATTGTTATCCACTAAATTTGAAAATAAAAAATACTACCCTATTAAATTATATGTGTATCAATACAAACTAAAAAAAAATATTTATAAAAAAACAATACTTTTAGGACTGTTATATTTTTATGCTGAGAACCAAAATAATAAGGAAATGATAAACTGGATTCTACCACGTGATTTCC